AAAAAAAAAAAAAAAAGATTAAATTTGCCTGCTATTTGTTTCAGAAATATCTGAATTCAAGTAAATATTATACACAGTCACTGCCCAAAAAAAGTAAGTTTAAGGTCAAATGGCAATGTACAATGAATTTTGTTCTAGTTTGAAAAAAAAAAAAAAAAAACCTTTCCCTGGGCCAGGCGCAGTGGCTCACACCTGTAATCCCAGCACTTTGGGAGGCTGAGGCAGGCAGATCACGAGGTTAAGAGATTGAGACTATGCTGGCCAACATGGTGAAACACCAAATCTACTAAAAAATACAAAAAATTAGTTGGGCGTGGTGGCATGAGCCTGTAGTCCCAGCTACTCAGGAGGCTGAAGCAGGAGAGTCGCTTGAACCCAGGAGTTGGAGGTTGCAGCAAGCCGACATCACACTACTGCACTCCAACCTGGCGATGGAGCAGGAATTTGTCTCAAAAAAAAGAAAGAAAGAAAAAGAAAAAAACCTTTCACCGATTAAGTCATTTCAATTGTAGAACTAGATAATCCCAAATCTTCCTTTCAATTTACGAAGGCATACAAAACATGTCACGAAAAGCCAATGAGAATTTGCAAGGAGGAAGTAATTCACGGGTCAGGCTCTACTTTACCTTGCATTGGTCACATCTCTGACCCTGCACGTTGGCTCTGCACTCACATTGTCCAGTTTGACTGTGGCAAATCTCAGAGAAAGAGCCATTGGCATTACAGAGACAGGCTGCAAAGAGAAGAGAGGTCTGTGGTCAGGAAAGCTTTCTGATAGTCTGAATAGGCTTGTTAAATAATAATATACCCCACATGGTAACATGGACACCTAAGTTCAGTAACAGACTGTTTTCTGATTTGTTGAGTGTCCTGTTAGGCATTCTACCATTTAATCCCTATGACGACTTTACAAGCTATAGAGATAATTCATGTAAAGGCTTCAGCACCATGTCTGGCTTATCACATGCTATTAAAATATTAATGTCATCACCATTATTCCATCTTGAGCAAGAAGACACTGATATTCAAAGAAGCCATAACATTGCCCTAGAATTCGCTGGTGAACCATCGATACGCACAGCTACCACGAGCACTGCTACCAAAGACAGCTACTATGTGTGAGCATCTCCAGGACTCAGGAACTCACTGGATACCCTCTATGTGCCAAATCCTTTAATTCCCACAGAAAATTCATGACCCTAGATGATCTGTCTGAAAGGAAGAATTTCTTAAGCTCCCTATGATTTTACACATTTGTCAAGAATCCAGTGTTTAAAGGCGCTTTGAGCCATTGGAAATTTTGCTTTTAAAAAAACAATCAATTTACAGGTTATATTAATAGGTACCAATTGGTCCAGAGAGTGATTTGGTTTTGATTCAACAAATTACCATTTTTAAATGACAAAAAGCTGGAACTCATCTTCTAAACCTGTGATGAGAGAGACATATTTCATAATGAAATAGGGTACCCTACTGGGTCTTTGGTGCTTATAGCAGAGTTGATGATAGGCTACATTTCCAGTGGTTTCTATAATTCTGCATGTCCTGGGACCCACCTGGATAATTGGAAGAGTCTCTCACATAAACTGGACAGAAATGATAGGCTGGTCTCATAACCTACTCTGCCTAAAGATTCTGATAGTAGATGAAGCTGATCATGGCCAAGTGCCAACACTGGATTTACATTCCATTTGACCTTCTGCAACAAGATCCCCCTTCATATTATAATCGCACTGACATTAAGGATTTACAAATTCTATAGCATATTAATACAGCTAAAACGGTAAAGATGAGGGGAGAAATGTATTATACTAATATGGATGAAGCCCTAAAGTAGCTAATTTTGTGGAAGGAAAACACTGAAAGAGCATTCTAGAAATAGTCCTAAAATGAGTAGTATGAAACAAAAATGAGGTAATCACTCAACAATGACTAATGCTGTGTGTGATAATATTGGCAGAATTTTACATCTATTACAAAGTACGATGCTGTAAAGTTAACCTATGAAAGCATAACTGATTAACATCTTCTGATGGGTACCACCGAAATAATATGGGCAGAAAAATTTATTTCAAGCAAGTGATTAGAATTGAGATAAACAAAAAAAGGATACATGGGGTCTATCTAATTTCCAAATTCTTCTTTCCTGCCGTGGACATAAGTTCATTAAAAAAATCTTCATTCCTCACGTCTATAGAAACATGTTTATCATTTGGAAAACAGTGACAATTCAATAATGCAGCAATTTTAAAAGGATTTACTCTAATAGTCAGTACGAGAAAATACTCTGGAATATGCAGACTCTATATAGTCTGTGTATCTATCAACCATGTATTCCATATAATTTCCTACTCTTCAATCCATGCTCAAGAGCTCATCAGCTACTTTGAGTACAATACATCAATTCTGTCAGGAGCATCAATAGTTCAGGACTTACGCTGACAGTTCTTTGCAACAACTGCGTCTCCAAAATATCCATCAGCACAGAGCTCACAGTACCGGCCTGTTGTACCTGGCTTACATATCAGACAGGAGCCAGACAAGCTGTCACAGCTGCCAGGGATGGAGAAGTCAAGGTTGTCATTGCATTGGCATGGCTGACATGATCCTCCAGGTACAGAGGGTTGTCCAAAATAGCCTTCTGCACACCTAAGGCAAAAAATTTCATCAGTGAGCCTTTGGGGAGATCTCAATCAGGGCAATGTTTACATATTTTTTATTCTCCCCCTCTCCCAGGATGATGGCTTCTCCTTTTAAGTGTTCCTTTTCTCAAACACGAGGTGATTAAAACAATGTTTTTCTACAACTACAGTGTAGTTACAAGATGAAATCCTGCCAGCCACTAGTAATTAGATTTCAGCCTGAAAAAAAAATAATCTTGTCATTGGCACTGAAGACGAGACTAAAGCATAGTAAGAATCTGCTGCCGGCACTCCGGAGGAATCCAGGTCCATGTTGGAAAGCCTTTGTAGTACAACACATTGCATGTCTGTACTCCAATGGGTTATTTTCTACAAATATGTAAGGTTCACATTTTTTGTTGTTGTTGCAGCCAGAACTTGTTATGAGGAAACAGGCTTGCAAGGAAATTCAGTAATAAGAGTTCAGAATTTATTAATTAGAAACTGTGACTCAGAAGATTCTTACTAATTGGGTGGGGGCTGCAGTATATCTGAATTAATAATCTGTTTGTGTGTATTTGCATATGAATTCAGAGGCAGATTTTCATGAAGGCTTTACTAAAGGGAAGTCTGAGAAAGCATGCCTGCATATCATGGGAATATGCCATAAGGCAATGTTGAACTGTGCCTGCAACTCTGTTAGTAAACTCTACGTCTCCCTCCCTCCCTCCGTCCCTCCCTCCTTTCCTTCCTTCCTTCCTCCCTTCCTCCCTCTCTCCCTTCCTTCCTCTCTGTCTCTCCTTCCTCCTTCCTTCCTTCCTTCCTTCCTTCCTTCCTTCCTTCCTTCCTTCCCTCCTTCCTTCCTGAAACCTATTCACATATTATATGAAAAACAAAAGTTTGTTTATAGGGCATGGCAGAGAAGATTTTTAAAAATTACAGCAGCAAATTTTCTCTGACCCAAATGTTATGTTTTAAAATGCCATGTATTGCTACAGGTATGCAGATACGTCCTTAATAGGCAGCACCTATTTATATTCTGTTCTGTCCTCTCTTTCAATAACATTTACTCATGCTTCATACTAAGCCACATTTGCCAAAGTAGAAACAGAACAGGGCATCTGAATCTTATGGTCAGGCTAGCTCTGTTATCTTTGTCATCTTATCAAGACAAAGCCTTTTGTAGCAAGTAACACAATTGAAGGGGATCACAAACAATGTGGGAATATAATTTCCTCACTAGCACACCACTTTTATGCTCATCTACTCACAGATATGCAGTCATCGTTTAGAGAAAGGCTCTTTACTACCAGAAATGGTTTAAATCTAGTACATTACATTGAGAGTACTTTAACAATATCACAATTATGGGGCAGAGTCATTAATTTATTTGGTGCAGATCCTTTGACTATTTCAAGTTTTCTAAAAAATGTGTAGGTACCATAATTTGTAGATTTGATCTTTTCTCAGAATTTTTAAAATGAAATTACTTATATTCACAAAATATTTTATACAATTAAGAGTTGTAAATAATATTGCTTGGAAGAATACTGCCAACCACAAATATAATTGTTCATTAATTCTCTATTATGAAATATGTAATAAAATGTGAGTGCATAAGATTCCCCCATAATCCCTTCAGGAGTGGTATTTGATAAAGATATGAAGATCCTTTTGAATTTTAACCTGATTCTTCTTGCCTTATTTAATATTCAGAGCTTATGCTTACATCCACATATATTCACATCTCATTTTGTTTACCACTAAGAGAATGACTTTGCTCCGCTGGAACAAGGATATACAATGATCATTATCACAGCAAACGAAAACCTATTATTTTCAGCTCACTTTCCTCAAGATGACTTGTTGCCCTTCGGAGAGATGGCATTATATAGAGGTCCAGGAATTTTTCTTAACTTCGATACCAATTAATAAGACTGAAATTCTCCATTAAAAAAAAACTCATTTCAGGGAGAAAATAACTATAATTAAATAGAATAACTAAAGAATCATCTGTCTTTTATTTTTTCTTACAGGATATGTAAGGAAAATTTGTGAATATACATGACAGAAATTCATATGCCATGTTATTGACAGTGGGACTATTTTCTGCAACACTTCAGCACATTACTGGTGTATGGTTGTGTGTCTATACACAGAACAGTATTAGAGATTTATGAAGATGTTCTGTCAGGAATTAAAAAGCAATTCAAGGGTCAGAGAATACAATACTGCTAATCATATAACTTTTATTAATAAAAATAGTGTGTTACAGTCTGATCAAGTTGGATTCACCTAATTAAAATTAGTTCAAATCACAGTCCTTTGGATTTTCACTCTACCAAAAGTAATTATAGTGTGAAATGCCACGCCCTCTCATTTTCATATATAAGACAGAATGAGTGCATTTTAAAAAACAGTTTGACGGCCTAGCTAGAAACGGACATCTTGACATAACAAAGCCATTGTTCCTTTCCACATCTGTTAACCTTTTCAAACCAAGTTGCAATATTTTGAAAAAGAACTGTTTAAATGTAAATAAGGCTCCAGACAACACATGCAGTTATTTGTTACACTTGCTGTTATTGATAATTTAGGAACAATATTGGGGGGGGAGGGAGACAGGAAGAGAGAGAGGAAGAGGGAGAAAAAGAGCAGATGTGCCGAGAAGCAACCACACTGATGAGACTTTTATCTCATTCTGCCCCATCATTTTTTCAGCAACTTTTGGCTAAAATCACTGCCTACATTTCTATTATCTATACACTGAAAACAACGAAACAATATAATGTTAGCTTAACCTAGCCAAGCAAATTAAAAAAGCTCTTGTTTCCCCCCCACCCCATTAAAAAAAATCAGCTGAGCACTTCTGCAGGGTACTAATATAAATAAGGAACGGTCTTTATACTACAGCGCATGCAGAATGAACACACATTTTAAAATGTGGCAGTAGAACAACTAGGGATATGCAAATGCTGTTATGGCCGCACAGAAAAGGGCAACCAACGCAGATCAGGATTAACCCAAGGGCACTTTCAGGATGATAGTGCTGAATTTTGGGAGCTGAACAGGGATTAGTTAGCCTGAGGGGGAGGAGTGAAAGGGCTGCAATCTTCCAGGCAGAGGGAACAGTATTGGCAAAGGCACAAAAAAAGGTGGCTGACATATAAAGGAGTGCGGCTGTGCTGCGACGCTGTGTTCTTACTTCCTCCCATTTAACATAATCAGCAAAAGACTGAGGGTGTTTGCCTGCTCACATGGTGCCTTTTGCAAGTTGGAAAAAAAGTGTCCTCTCTAGATATATGCAGAAAAAGTGAAGAGATAGTAGATACAGCTAGACACCCAGGCAACACATGGAAAAGACGAGGGCAAACTGCATTCAAGCCCTCAATCTTCCCCCTCCCTGAGTGCCTTTGTGCAATGTACAAACTGCACAACCACACGGGTGGCCTCTTGACTCCTCAGTTGGAGCTGCAATTTTGCTAACAGTACTACCAAGCAGGTATGACTGCCTCTCCTCTTTTATTTCTGTAGCCCATACTCTGAATTCAGGACCCAAAGGCACAAGGAAACTCAGAAGTGAGTAGGTCTCACCAGCATGGTGATCAGAGGGGTGATTTGACTGGATCTGAATTCAGATGTTTTAAAGCACTCAAAATCTAAATGGGATTTTGGAACTGAAATTTAAGTAACAAAAAGGAATTTCTTTAATATGAATCTTGTTGATACAACTGTAGGGGAATTTTCAAAATATTAAGCAATTGGATTCAAATACCTTCTACATTTTCATTGGCAATTGTGAAATTAGTCCTAGCCTTTGACCCCTCTCTCCTCACCTAAGGAGGAATGGTTAAAATTTTGCCAGCTGGGAAGAAGGGAGGGCTTAAGAAGCCTATGTATCCCACTAGGTTTCACGTTGTCCTACAGAACCCACAAGGTGAACTTGCCACAGCCGTTTTGAAATGCCTTCTCCATAATGTATGACATGTTGGCGAGCCAAAAAACCTATTCTGAAAGTAAATTAGTGTCTGATCCAGCAGGTATCCTCGGCACCTAACTCAGTTTTTGTTCCATATACTTTTCAACCGCTCTTGATGCTCCAATCCTTACTCCATCCCTTTTAGCCTTTCAAGATGCTGTCTCTTTGTTATTTTTTTTCCTCTTGTTCAGATGATAAAAGTCTAGAATCTTAGAAAAGATGCCATAATAAATATCTTCTCCCCTCGCTCTCTGACTCTTCTTTTTCCTTTGTTTAAAACATTCCCCAGCAAAGTAGTGATACCTCAAAAACGGTGGTATTTTGGCCCTAAGTGAATGTTTTCCAAGCTGTAATAAGTGTTCTATTTGTGACAGAATACCAACCCATGTTTTGTCGTATATTGTTTGGTCATTCTCCTGTTCACGGTTTTTCTTCACCCCCTCGATTCAAGAAGCAAGGCCATCTAGTGCTACATATCTGAAGGGATTTGACAGGGCAGAAGGCAAAGACATAGAAATCTTCCAGACCACGAGCTCTGAAAGTCACCAGTTCCATAAATCTGGCTCCTCCTCTTCCAAATAGAAAATGGGATGGAATTAGAAAGGCAGATGGAAAAATGATGATGGTAGAGATGTTGGTGGGTCTTAGAGTGGAATGAAAGAAGCTGAATGATCCCTGTGCCCCCAAAAATGGAATGATAGTGGTAGAGAGACTTTCTAGACCTGAAGAGAAAGGTAATTAGGAGGACAGGGAAAAAGGGATAGGCCAGCAGAAGCGTGCTTGGGTGAAATACTCAGCACTGGCTGGCCCTACCACGTGTCCCCTTACTCAACACATACACACAGACCTTATACCCTGCCCTCTACCCATGCGTACAAGCCTTTTGGTACTAGGCAAGTTTGATAGAGCTTTGATTCAAGCTTGGAGGTGGAGAGAGAAGAAAACAACTTTAAATGGGCTCAGATTAGGTTTCTAAGCCCTCCCAGGTCCCACATATAGAGAAAGGGGTCTCAAAATAGAAATAAAATTGTGATAAAGACTATAAAGCTATAACCCTTGTCCCACCTGAGCTATAGTCTGAGATATATTCTTGCTATGTAGTTAAAGCAGAGGGTTTATGACCACATAAGTTTAGGAAATGCTGAGCTAGACAAATTGAACAGATTCTTCATTACACACTGTAGGACATGCCAGAACTTTTAACATGCAAATGGATGCTTCCAAAACTTATGTGATCACAGAATTCTTTATTCCAGGAACATCTACAATTTGGGAAATGTTGCTTTAGTTTTTAAATTCTCGTCTTATTTAGATGATGTGCATAAGCTGATCACACAAATCACTTACAGAATGGTTTTGATTACAAGATTTTCAATGCAACCAGTATCTCCTCCCTACCCTAACCCTTATCTTCCCTCTCTTCTGCTTCAACAGGCACGTTTCAAACAAACAAACAAAAATGTTTCCCTAATATTTTAGGTCTTCTAAGGGGTTCTTTTGGCTCACATAAATACAATGAAATTTAAATCTGAAATATTCCTGGAAAACCCTAATCTAAATTCTGGCTAGAAAAATACGGTATCAATTGTGAAAAAACTGGAGCTGGAGATAAGATATGCCATTCACTACACCGCATATGCATGTTACCATCTTTTCTGAATCAGATTAATACAGATTTTAGACAGGAAATCATGCTTTCTGTCAGGTATTTCTTTCCTTGGTGATTTTTGCTATTCAAATAGAATTCTCTGAAGAATACATGCAACCATCCTCACTTGCATTAAAGAAAGATGTGAAATGTGCAGGGCAAGGATGGGAAAATGCATCTATTTATATCCAGTGTCTAGCCCTGCACCCAGCACATGGCAGTTACTAAACAGATGTTTGCTAAATAAAATGTAGGGTTTTAAATTATGGATGGTTCAGAAATTATTGTCTAACATGTATAGAGAGTATAGTACATGAAGCAAAGCAATATAAATACTTCAGAGAGTATGCTCACCTAGATAAGTGAATTTAGTAGCCTTGTATGACATAGCAGCTGTCATTTTCCAGTTGCTAAAAAAGGGTTGCCTATAGTGAGCTGGGGGGTTTAGGCACTTGATGTGAATCTATCTTGGCAATGATATGCTCTCCTACCATAGTAATATGTACACGCCTTTCTTTAAACACACACACACACACACACACACACACACACACACACAAAGATATCCAGTTTCTTGATTGCAAATAAATCCTCCTTGTTTCACTTTTTTTTCTTCCATTCCTAATTTACAGATGCTTTTACACTCACAAATAGTACTTGTTGCTGCTAGAACTGTCATTGGCACTTTGTCCACAGACTGCCAGTTGCTAGCTAAATTTTCTCTGGGTGATAGGCTTCCACTTAATTGATTTTATGCATCCTGGTTGAAACAGGAGTGATAGCTGCCAAGATGACAGGAAAAGATGGGCAGAAATAGCCCTCTTCAGGGTTAGCCTCAGTGACGATGAGTGAAAACAGGTCACTTCCTTTGTACCCCTCCTTCCCAGGAAGGGTAGCAGCGGGGACTATTGCCAGTGCTGAAACCAGAAGGAGGGTTTTGCGTTTGGCAATGATGTCAAGGGGGAAGTTGGTATCATTTTTATGCTGAGACTGAATATGTAGTATTATTTCTTCAAAAACATTTCAGGAGGAAATATAAGCACACAAATGACACAAAATAATACTCTTGTTTCCGCTGCAAAGCAACCTATAAAATCAACAGGAATTAAAATACTGGTTTAGGAGTAATTAGAAGAGGATATAAATCATGATAATAAATTACGTTTTGTTTGTATTTTCATATATATTTAAAGTAAATTATGAACCACTGGCTGAACTATGAACTATGGATTTAAGCTACATTTTAAGGACAAAAAGCTAATTATGAAAAATAAATGGTGCCTACATAGACAGTAAGATAAATCTTAAAGTGCGTGATTTTCCACTGGAGCAATACTTTCTACAAAGATTATGGGTTAATACTTAATCTTTAAAATTAAAACATTAATCAGATATTCTCTGAGTGAATGAAGATGTATGAAGCAATTTCTGAAAAATAAATAAATTACAAAAATACAATGCATTTGTTTGACATGTGTGTTGAGAAACTTTATTTCTCTTCATTGAGTGTGGCCATTTTTCTCCAAAGGATGATGCAAAGGATGACCCTATCTCTGGTTTTATAACTCCCAAGGTAGAAATCATTTTGCAAGACAGTATAGTATACACTTACCTCTCACAGCGTGGTCCTGTGTACCCGGCAGGGCATTCATCACAGATCAATCCCAGACTCCGGTCTAAATGGCACGTTGGGCTAAAGCTATGTTGGTGTTGTTGCAGAAAACAGGGACAAGAAAGAAGCACATACACGAAGTCATTAGCAGCATCTTCTCATTTCTCTCTCTCCACTACTGCTCTGGCAAAAGAGTACAGGCTGGTCATTGTTGCCTCAGAGACAGAGATTAGGGTCTGGCCAATGGAGGATGAAATGACATTGCTATTTCTGCAGACGTGAATATAGCCCAGTGGAGAGCAGTATCCCTGTGACATGTTATTAACTGACTTTTGACTGCTCTGGGAAGTGATCATCAGTAACAAGTGGAAAAGTATAGCTGCTCTTTAGAAATCCCCCCCAGCCTGGCTCATACACAACTGCACATACTTTCTTCTCTAGTCAAATCCCTCTGAATTGGAAGCAGCCTGGAGAAACCGGTTAGAGATTTTGGAAAACTCAGCATGTGGTAGTGGTGGTGACAGTGCTTCCTACTTCAGCTACCGCCATAGCGGGGTGTGGCTGTGTGCAGGCTGCTGCAGGTACGCCCTCACACTGATGGCCTCCTCAGGAAAGCTTTCAGAAGAGATCAAGTGTGTATATTCTACCTAAACTTATCATAAACCTAACCAAACAAAAGCAACCTTGCCGTCTCATACCGCCTGGCATGTTTCAAAGTTCACTTATCTCTTTGCATGTATTTCTAATTTGGATCTGAAGTAACGGAGCTGAACACTAGATCAAGAACGAGCAGGGAACTCAGGAGCTAGCTTTAGTCTTTAGCAAGATGTTTCCCTCCAGCCATGCTTCTTTGCCTTGTGAGAGACACCTCTAATACATGAGGCCCTACCCCAAGACTGACACATGGTAATGTGGTTCTCGACTGGCTCTCTGAAGGGCCATCAACCATTCTGGTCTGTAAGGTCTGCTGCGGTACAGTTTTAAAGGGAAATGCCCTCAATTAATCTTTCTCTTACTATGTTTTCCCCAAGTAGATTTATTTTCTATTATATATGACAGGGCAATTCAGTAGAGACTTGTTTGATGGCTAAATGAATTAAAGAAAGAACAATAAATTAAACATTGCAAGTCCTGATCTCATCCTGCTCCTGACACTTGAATTACTTTGGAATACCTTCTTAACTTTGGTGCAGATCAGATCATGAACACTATTTCTGAATAATATTTCTCTGGCTTAACTCTGTAAATATTTAATAGTTCTTTTTTTATTTTGGATACTAGCAAGATGTTAGGACCAGATCAGTCTATCATTTTAAACATTTCAACTCAGTGGAAACTTCAAATGAATCTGTTGGGTCAAGGAGATAAAGCCTGGTCTGGGATGCTTTGAATTTATAAATATTATTCAGATAAAAGATTCCACATTAAGGTGTCTTGGTAGCTGTCAACAGTGGACAAGACATATTTAGCATGTGCACTGCAAGTAGAGATCCTCCTTTTATAAAGTATCCTATACTTTGCTACACATGACCCAAAGACATCTCCCTATAGGTGATTTTTCTTGACAGGATGGTTACTGCACTGAAGATGCACAGGTTAAAATGAAAAAAAAAAAAAAAGATTTTCTCTCATCCTCATTCAGTGATTTGCTATTATTGTTTACAGATATAAAAGTGGGAAGTGCATTTTGACCAATCTCTGTATGTCTTCTTTGAAAACTGTCATTCTGTAACTATCTCATCATCTACTGAGAAACTGACTCCAACCAGAAGCACTGGGTTTCCCACTTCTGTGGGACTATACTGATTGAAAGAAAATCATATTAATTATTTTTTATAATCCTAAGTCAGTCTATCATAACTTGTGTCAAAGCTGGTTGACAAGGTTTCCTACATTTTATTTTATTTTATTTTATTTTATTTTATTTTATTTTTTTGAGACAGGGTCTCTATTGCTCAGGCTGGAGTGCAGTGGCATGATCTTGGCTCACTGCAACCTCTACCTCCTGAGTTCAAGCGATTCTCATGCCTCAGTCTCCCAAGTAGTGGGATTATAAGCATGTGTGGCCATACCCAGCTAATTTTTGTAGTTTTAGTAGAAATGGGATCTCATCATATTGGCCAGGCTGGTCTTGAACTACTGACCTCAAGTGGTCCACCTGCCTTGGCCTCCCAAAGTGTTAGGATTACAGGCATGAGTCACTATGACTAGCCTTGACATTTTAAAGCTATTCATAAAATAGATTTCAAATTCTTAAATACACTCACATGTCAGTTAAAACCAACATAAGTAAAAGATGCTCACTGACAAAAGCCAACAATTTTTCAAGAAAAAAAAATTAAGTAATAAAAATATGTTAGATTTGACCAGCTCCTTACAGTTCAGAGTACTTTCACAATTTTATCATGTTTCATAAAATCCTAGAGCTGGCTGGGGCAGGCAGAGTTTTTCTTAACAAAGGTCATATACTAAATTTCCGGGATAATTTAGTATGCATCTAGGACTTTAGATTCTTAATGTGATGTCCTCCTCTTTCTATAACCAATTGTCATTGAAACCTACTGGTAAGCATTAAGTAAGTTTAACCTTCTAGTAATATAAATTACTCGACATGATGCATCCAAATAAAACTCTCTCACAAATTATATCTGTATTTGTGCTTTGATATTCTTTCAACAGAATAAGCTGAAGATTCACTCTCTTACTGCTGTAATTGCAGTTACAGCTATGGCAGAAGATGGCATTCAACAACAAAAATAAAACTAGAATGAGAAATAAACATGCACAATAAAAAAGTCTACAGAATTTGCATTGGCAAATGTAGCAGACTTAGCACTGATTATGGCCAAGGCATGAAGCTATTGTTCCGTGACACAAAGAGGAAAATGTGAGATCATCACTGACTTCAAGTGATTCCAAGATTATGTCATTTAACTCTATTTGGCGAGCTCTACACCAGCAGAGAATGTTCTTCATCCTGGACTATCCAAATCATGCCACAAGGAAACACAAAAAAGCCAAGAGCGGCAGGTGTTTTCCACAAATAGGGGAGGAAGGGAAGCTGTTATTGGGATAAACAGTAAGGACATGCACATGGAAGTTATCCCTCTTGATGGATGAATACATACTTTTATTTTTATAATAATCTACTTATAAGCATGTATATATGTATGCGTATGCATGTGTATACATGTGAATATATATGTCAACATATGTATATATGTTTAAGTATGTGAATGCATACATACAGAAACAACCTTGCTCTAAAAAGAATTTAATTCTATATAAATATGTGCATTAAGAATAAAGTGAGGTTAAAGAGAAAGAAATACTAAAAAAAAGATAAACTCAAGGATGTATTTAGAGTTCAAAAAGCATGTTATAAGGTATGTTCATTTGTTTATGGAGGATCAACATTTGGCTTTGAGGTTTTCACAGCTAATGCAAAAGGGGACAGTCAACAGGTAAATGATTCAGAGAAGCCAAAAGCAAAACAATTGCTCAACAGAAGCTCAACAATTCCCAATTATCAGACATTGGGGAAACTGCTCCTATGGGTCCTAAAATTCAGTTCTAATGTAAAATGCTCCCAGAGAGTTAATCCAACACCCTAAAATAAAACTAAACACATATTAAGTAAATGTGTGAAACTGTTTTATATATCTTTAACTGTCATGCATTTGGAATAAAATACAATGAATTACTTCTTAGGACTGAGATGTGATATAAAACAACCACTTCTTTAATCAATGGCATACTATTGAAACTTCCATCATTAGGGTTAGAGAATCAGGGCATGTTCTGTATTTGCTTATACAACAGGGGATCAGGGCTCCTTTCAACTAAATTCTTATCTTGGACAGTTGGGTAGGAAAAGAGAAACCGTTTTGAGTGGCTACAAAATGGCAGTGGGGAAGTTAGAGGGGAGGGTAATGAGAATATCCACACACAACTGAAAAGGGGCAGGGGACTGAGAGGAAAATGAAGAAAAAAATTCATTTACTTCATGATTTTGGTGTTGGCTTCATACATTTCTGAAGTTTCTAAGTTTTTTCTTCTTCAGCTCAATGATCTCTCCCAGTTATTCTCAGCAGAGTCATTCAGCAAACATTTATTTCTTTAATTACCTTTAAATACTATGAAATCTGATTTAATCCCCACAATTGGATTTTGTAATTAGATTTGATTTATTTTCTAAATATGTCTTTGAATGATATGTTTCTCTAAACTTGTTTCCCATGCTGCAAAATGGAATAACATGATTGATCTGATAAACCCTTTTATACTGAGAAAGTATGGAAGCATAGTGTCAAAATAAATTATAGATACAATTTAGTAACTTTTTAAAAACTTTACCTTTTTTTTACACATTTTTAAACAAATTAAGATATGTTGATTTGTTTAATGTTTAAGATATTTAATTAATAGAGATATTTAATTAAGATATTTAATTAATATTTAATGACATAACTGTTAACATAACTGTAACTATGTAGCATAGTTAACATAACTCTTGCCAAACAGTGAAGATTTACTGATTTTTACAGTGAGCATTTACAGTTTGTCTGACATTAAATTCTTTTTTTTTTTTTTTGCTTCTTTTCAATGTTTCTGTAATTGTTTCTATTACTGTAGCCCCATTGGAAGAAGCACAGAGAGGTGAGTCAAAATATATGAGTTCTAATATTGGTTCTGCCACAAGCAATCTGTATAATCACTACCAAGGCATTTAATTTCTCTGAACTTTAGTTTTTTTCCTTTGGTATATGGAACTAGGAAAACCCATCATAATCTCCCATGTGGACATAAAACGTTGCGTAGGAAAGAACACTAAAACATCTAGAGCATTCTCAGTTTTCTAGAGAATATGGTTGAATTGAATGTTTCCTTAAATTTGCCTCTTATCTTGGAATATATTTCTCTATATTAATTTTAACAATGGGCATTCAGCATGGTCTCTTAAGTAAGCCCAAAGGTCAGCTCAAATTTGAAAGTTTCACTCTTTCAAAAACTTAAATTTCAGTATTCCTGACCCACGCAAAGCAGTATTATTTATAATACTATCAGTAGACAAATCATATTGAGGACATACCTCTGTTCAGCCTTGTGCCAATAATATCTTTTATTATATAACTGATGAAAATCTATAACAACTTCAATAATATTATATATTCAAACACATCCTAAGTATTCAAAGGCAGACATTCACATGTCACTTTCTTATTTTATTTAACCTATAAGCTATGTGATGCCAGAAATTAATGAATATAAAACATTTGAAATATTTACATTTTTATTTGCTTCTCTACAGATAAATTTTACTGCCTAATTACAATCTATAGCTAGAATATATACATCAACAAAATGAGATGGCCAAGCACAGTGACCGCAGGAGTTGATGAAGTTGATATATATGCATAATTTAAATATTATATGCTTGTCTGTATTCATACATTATAATAATTATACCAATCTATCTCTATCTTCTTACACATTTGATTTATTTAGCAATATTATCTAAGAAATTTGGAGCCAAAATGCTAGTGATCTATAAGATTTATGATGAGGGATTAAATAGATAAATCACCAAGGTAAAACTATCAGTAAGCTTTAGACTTCCCATGAAGGTTGCGGCAACCTTTAGCTCCCTTTTTTTTCTTCTCTGAATAACCCCTGGAAATTAAAATCTCATCTTCAGGACTATATGCAAATATTCAATTCATACATCAGAGTTTCTAGCTCACATTATAACAGTAATGTTTTTTATAAATCTTTTTAAAAAGAATAGTTTCCCTAGGTCATTAAGTGTCTTGTTTAGTGATTCTTTTTTTTAGACATTTCAGGTTGTTAGATGAAAATGGATTTTTCTCATCACAGCTGTGCAGCTAAACTATGATAATTTTCTAGTTGTTCTAAATGTAAAATTGTTTTAAACTGTTTTAAATGTAAAAGACATTATAACCCTATCACAAACCTTCAGGATTTATAAACTAAGTGAATTATCTCTGCCCTCTCTTTCTACTTGTTAAAATACCACATTGAAAGTTGGAATTTAAAATAGATTGCTACTCTATTCCCAATTTTACTATTAAAATATGTTTTATTTAATAATTTTCTAATTATTAATATTTGCTAGTTTGCTAGTTTTAATTTTTTAATATTAATATTTGATAATTTGCTAATTAATATTTACTAATAATTATTAATCACTTACTGTAAGTGAAAGCACTTTGAAAATGGAATTTTTTTTAATATTTGGTGTTACTGGTATTGTTAATATTGTCTTGTCTGTATTTTTAAAAATCAGGATCAACATCATTATGCCAAATGGGAATACACATATTTTAGGAAATACCATTATTGGACACTGGAACTCCAGTCCCTTTGACACTGACGGATGGTGTTTTAATGCTCACAGACTCTCTTTCTTTTTCAGAAACAACAATTAGAACCCATTATCAAAGCAAATGCACAGCAAATAAAGAGACAACGATGCATCATGAATGCCTATAATTATCCAAGCAAAATTATCTCCCTAATGCTTCCCCTGCATTTATAGTAATGTTGGTCAGACTTGAGGGTAAATCCATAGGATCTACATAATCAATTATATAATTTTAAAACGTATTCAGCTAGAATTCACATGATGCAATGAGCAGCCAGCTCTGCTGGATTGATAGTCATGCTAATAATGCCCATGACATTTTGGCTGAGAAGGAGATGCAATACAAGTGGCCAGATGCAATCCTTCTGGTTTCCTCTATGAAAGTTAGTCATGAACAATGAGTTTCATGTAAATGAGGCTGGTTAAGAGAAGAGAATGCCATTTAGCCATGGTCAGTGAGTAGGTCTTCCATTGGGTGAGCTAATCCTTCACATATTCACCAGAATGCAGGTTTTGTGTCATGTTATGACTATCATAGACTTGAGTATCAATGGCTACTCAGCCATTAATAATGAAGAAGTGTATTTCATTTGTTCTCCTATATTCATTATTTTCCAGTAGGTTTCTCTCTTGCCTTCTTCCTCTTCTCTGACATCCTTGGTTTTTAAAGAATCTTCAGTTTTTTGCCCGTCTAGGCTAATGCTTTAAGCCCTAGAAATGCTCTGATCACTAATATATATTAACTAGTGGTCCCCAACATTTTTGGCATCAGGTACTGGTTTTGTGAAAGACAATTTTTTCCACAGATGCAGGGGAGGAATTTTGGGATAAAACTGTTCCACATCAGATCATTAGGTATTGGTTAGATTCTCATAAGGAGCACACAACCTAGATCCCTCGCAGGTACAGTTCACAATAGGGTTTGAGCCCCTATGAAAATCTAATGCCTGCCTGATCTGATAGAAGGCAGAGCTCAGGTGGTAATGTCTACCACTCACCTCCTTCTAGGTGGCCTGGTTCCTAACAGGCTATGGATGGTTGGTTACTAACAGGCCATGGATGGTTAAGGGCACCTGCATTAAACCAATGTCTTATTTTCTCAAAGCCTTGCTAGATAAATTGACTTATCCAATGAATTAATTATTGCTTTTAGTGTTATCACTTAAAATGCAGTGTGTATTTTTTTTTCAAGAAGTCTTCATTGCAGACTATAGACATTTGGAAAGCACATGGATTTTAAAACTAAAATTTCAACTTGGATACTTCAATGCTTTATGACTCTGAGGAGGTTAATAACAATCAGCTCTTAGACTGGGTTCACCATATTCAGTCACAGTTTAGGGTGGTTTACACATTTTAATTATGTCTTTCCCACATCAACCCTATAAGAGTCCTATTATTACAACTAATGATGACAGAACTGAGGCACAGAGAGTTTCAGTGACTTGCCTAAAGTTGCACAGCTGGAAAGAATGGAACCTAGCATTTAAATCAAAGATTCTGGCTACAGAATTGGCACCATAATGTTATTTTTCTACTAATAGCTTTCATTTCTTCATCTATAAAATGGAGATAATAACATCTACTTTACTGACTTATAGTTGAAGGTGAAACAATACCAAATATAGTGTTTGGCCTAGAATCTAGTAGTCTGCTTTCATTAAGTAGTAGTTCTTTCTCTTCTTTTCCAAATGAGTAAGGTAAAAATTTCCGAGTAAATAGGGTCCTTGGGAGGATAAAGATTTCATGTGGATCGAACAGTAGGAAGCACAGTTCCAAGGAGAACATTTAAACTTAATGTCAGAACTATTCTCAAAGTCTTTAGCTTATAGCATTCATTGAAACTAACAAAAGACCATTTTAATTAGGCACATTCTGGGTAAGAGCTTGAAGTATGACTTACTTGATCACATGTTCACATTAAAAGAGTGCACCTGGGCCGGGCGCGGTGGCTCAAGCCTGTAATCCCAGCACTTTGGGAGGCCGAGGTGGGTGGATCACGAGGTCAAGAGATCGAGACCATCCTGGTCAACATGGTGAAACCCCGTCTCTACTAAAAATACAAAAAATTAGCTGGGCATGATGGTGCGTGCCTGTAATCCCAGCTACTCAGGAGGCTGAGGCAGGAGAATTGCCTGAACCCAGGAGGCGGAGGTTGCGGTGAGCCGAGATCGCGCCATTGCACTCCAGTCTGGGTAACATGAGTGAAACTCCGTCTCAAAAAAAAAAAAAAAAAAAAAAAAGAGTGCACCTGACAGATTTCCCTTAAAAATCATTGAAAATTTTTGCTCTGTCACTGTTACCACAGTGCCTAGACATAGCTGGAAAGCGTACAACATGATATGAACTTTATTATACACTGAGCTTACCTTTAAGATAGTTCTTTAGAAAAGAATTTCCTCTGATTTAAAAGTGTAGTTATTTGTAATTGCTGTCAAGTAAAAATGGTTGATTTTTATTCAACCTAGTATCCTAATTTAAAAACAAAATATAATATTTTTGGTTGGGGTGTGCTTAGCTGTTTACTTCGAGATGGCTGCCCTGAGAGAATGTGAATTCAAGCAGCTGGCTATAGCATTCCCCTAAAAGTTAAGGAAAGAGGAATTCAAGCATTCTTGTTGTTTGTTTTTAAAATCTGCTCTAAGAGGTGGTTGTTCTAGGTGAACAACTGGAATTTTTTTTTTTTAAAGGGATAGGATGAGTGCTTAAAAATCAGTTAATTCAGTCCCTTTATTTTACCTTTTGAGAGGTTTATTACTAGCGTAAGATTCACCAAAAAATATGTGTGGCTAGAACCCAAATTAGCTGTATTTGTATCCTTTTATTAAGGTATGAAGATGGGTATGGATCTGTGTGTAGGTGCGTACATGCATGCACATGTATGTGTTTGTATAAAATATTTCTGTTCTTTGGAATTGGTGTGGAAATTCTCTTTGAGCTCTACTCTTAGATATTAAATCACCAAAACTTGAGCTAAAAAATTACAAATTCTTAAAAATAAATCATTATAATTTTAAATATCTAATGTTTGGAAAAATTCATATTACCTTCCTGAAAAAATTCATGTCTGCGTTTATTATTTATTTACATGGGATAAGAGAAAGAGTATATTTGATATTAAAAGTGCTTGCAGAAATGGATGCTGAACTGCTTCATGGAGTAATTTTGTACTTACTTATTGGATGGGATATTGAGTGGACAGGCACAGGGTTGACAGTCTTCAGAGGTTCCTTTAGTAGGATCACCATAGAAACCAGGAAGACATTTATCACAGTATGGGCCGCTTGTGTGATCCTTACAGTTCTGAGGAAGAATGCACATCAGAGTTTATTATTTTGGTCTCAGGCATCAATATGTTGCCAAAAATAGGTCTACAAAATCATTAGTCTGCTCCCCACCAGCAAGAATATTTTTTCCATGTTAAATGGTCAATTTTACAGCAGGGAAATAGCATTGAAAGCTAATTTAATATCTAACATATAAGCTACACAGTAATTTCCGCATATGCATACTTAACAAAAACATGACTGAAATTCATTTTATTGTTTTTTGTTATGCAAATCTTACTTCATTTTTTCTATAGTTTTTCTCTTAATACATGATATTGTGTGTGTGTGTGTGTGTGTGTGTGTGTGTGTGTAGTCATAAGGTGCAAATAAAATATGTTTAATGGAAATTGTAGATGATTCTAGGTAAAAATCAATTGTTCAGCATGAAATTGCTGATTTAATGGGAACTGTGGTTAATTATACAAATCCTCTGGGGCTATGTCCTCTTAGCGCAGACATTAATTTTGGCCTCAGTGGACTCTAATGATTTGGACAATGACTACTGTATTACATCTGTGAAAAGCTTGCTTGTCTCATAATTAAACATTGAGAAAATTGAAAAAATTTAAACATCACATGCCAGTTACATCAACTAAATGTGAATATGTGTTTCTGTAGTAACTGGTGATATTTGAAAATAGGCTTTTCTTTAAGTTATTTAAAATTCTCTCTCAAATTTATTTTTAACAAAACTTTTTAAAAGATAGCATTAAGGTCAACTTCACTATGAATAGTTGCCTTAATAATGCAGCATATTGTGATTTAATAAACAAAACATGGATCGATTTGAAGAAAGATTTTTCCCTTTGATTTGATCTTTGTTTCATTTCCTTTCAATTTTCAAGTTTAGCTAGACTAATTTATCACTAAAGAATTGTTTTTTGAAAAATTCTTTGTATGTTATCTCAGTGATAGAACTAAAAATTATGTCTTCAAAGACTTAAGAATTTTAAAAATTGAATCAAAAAATTATGCCTTAAACGTGTGGAAAATGGCATTTCTAACATTCAACTGAAAATCTTGCATAACTCAGAGACCCTGTTTTTTCTACTTATTGATTTAAAAGAGAAATAACAGGTAGTTTTTATATTTTCTAATGTCACATTTCATTAAATAAATGCCATCTTATAACTCAAGCATTTTTGTCATGGAGTCCAGAAAACAGCATCAAACTATCAACATAATGGAAATCAAAACAAAAAGATGGAAGTTTCACTCTGATGGATTGCTGAATTTTACAGATGTCTTGTAACAAAAGCACTTAACAAATTTTTGCTCACATCATATATCACAAGAACCATGAGAAGAAGCAAGCATGCAATCTTCCCATGTGACACTGAATACTTCCTAGGTTACTTCAAACGTACTTCCAGTTAAAATGCGTTCTTCATACAGACCTACACTATTACAGAAGTTTAAATTTTGTTCTGATGTCCAAAATATATGTCAGTTAATTTATAATCAAATATTAAAGCAAGCTAAATTAAAAAGCATTCATTTATAAATTTATTTTTCATAGTAAAAATCATGCTATTTAATGCTGGGGAAAAACCATGAAAAATAAATAAGAAGCTAAAATGCTGGGTGAACTGAATAGTAAGGATGCCCTTGATGAGCAGCATACAAATATTTTCCTCTTTGTATATTACATCAGAGCCCATATACTCCAAATGGAATATCAGCACTTAGTTATCAATACCATTTTGGAGAAAGGGCACTTGAAAGTCAGCATACCCTACATGATCACCTATTTACTAGCTATGTTAGAAAATTCAGAGAATACCAGATTCTGTCTTTATCATCAAGATATTCACTGTTTCCTCAAGACCACTCTGGTCTTTGAAGGAGAACTCCTATCTCCCTGTCATGAAACAAAGTCAATAAACTAGGTTTCATTAGTAGAGAGTCTCACACAACACTGTTTCCTCTCTTCTTCTTCTCAAAATTATGCTGAATGACACTGTTTTATTCGTTAAAAAGGCTTTCATTTTTAGAAATATCACATCACCAAATGGACCAATTTGATTTCCTCCTAATGAATTTAGCATGAACATTTTATTTGATTTTTATCCTAATGAATTCAACATAAAATATGACTATAGGGAACATTATGAGTTTGGTGTCATGACACACTTATTTTTGTCCTCCTAGGGTAAGTAAAAGAAATACATGTCATTTTTGGGCTGAATATTATTTCCTATTGCATGTTAGTAAAGTGTTTAAAGGTAACCCAATATTTTTCCCAAAGTACATTTTAAAACACTTATGGCATAATTAAAATGAAAATCACTTAGTCTTTCTATTCATAAAAATGTCATTTCAAAAATCTACTGATCCACAAATTAAGGCTTTCATGCTTTATAATGCAATGCAATTAAACAAAATCTTATATAGAGAAAAGAGAAAGAGCATCAATAAACCTTAATGCCAAATTACATTGAAACAAAAGCCCTGAATTTTCATTTCGGATTTTTCCCAGAAGCTTTTAAGTAGAAGAGAAATGGGGGAAAATGAGCAAGAGAAAGAGAGAACATTAAGAATTAAAGACAACAGGGTCCGCCTTAAATTCTTCAGGGAAATGAGAATATGATATCCACCTAAATTGGCACCATTTTAAATTGCATTTCTGCAAGACTAATGAAATGAGAAGTGTTGTTTCAAGCTTCATGCCACGTCAGACAATATAAAACTAATGTGCCCTTGAGTTAATCAGAATGGTCTATTCAGTGTAATTCTCCAATCCTAAGGCTTCTTAGCAGGATGGAAAGTGCTTTGCACTTTGTAGAGTCTATTTCCTGGTTAAAGCTTAGACTTAACTGTAAAGGAGAAGCAGCTTTGGTGAATATGTATTAAATGTTGTTATTATTTTTAATCTACAAATGATACTATGTGTTTAGTTAAATTCTGAACATTTTAAATTAAAATATTCAGTATGTCTTTATTTTCAACATGAAGAAAACTTAATTATGTTTACTGTAAAGGTTATATTTTATACTTTCCATGTTATGGGGATACAAATTATTGTCTATTTTAAAAGTACACTGTACTTTTCATAGATTTATGAATGGAAGTGAAACCATATATATTCGTGGTAGCTATATCTTCCATCATAAGTTATGCCTTATAATAATATATCTAAGTTAGTTCTTGGACTAATATGAATAAACACTTCCTTATATTCATCAGGAATATCACATATGAAAGAGCATTCTCAGTTCCAACTCAGTTCGGTACAAAGATCTTTGTCAAAGCACTTCTTGACTCAAGTGTTTACAGTCTCCAGGGTAGTAACTGAATTGCAGCATCTGTTGAGGTGATTTCAGCCTTGTCAATCAGCATCCCCAAAAAGGAGGGCACTTACCAGGCATTCTCCAGTGACGTCATCACAGGACTCTGCATGACCAAAGCACTGACATGGCTCACAGATGCCACCAAAAATAGTGCCGTTAACTCGCCTGTGCCTAGGCCAACAAGACTGAAAGGAAGAGAAGGCTAAGGCTTTAGTCAGTCTGGGAGATTAAAACAAAAAGGTGTTTTTGTTTGTGTTTGTTTTCTGATAACAGAAAATAACAGGTAGGAAACTCATCAAATGTGCTTGTCAAAGCATTGCCATTATTGAAACATTACGACAGAGCTATTCCTCCTGACATTGGGGCTTTGCACTGACCTTAGTGTTATTGGCAGGTATGAGATTAGAGGAAGCATTAGCTTGCTGTCGCTTCTGAAATGGTAAAATAAAGCAGAGATATAAAGAATTGAAATGTGACAGTCTCAAAGTAAAAAGCACAGACAGGAAAATAGAAAAGTACTGAAAAAAAGGCAGCTGATCTAAAAGGACTCTTCATATCATCTTAGCCTAAGGCAGCACCCAATGTCATCCCAAGCAATTTTGATTCTCTGGAATGTGTTCCCTTTCCCACATACTAATTGCCCCTAACTTCTTCATTTCCAGAAAATGTTTGACATGATTTGGTAGTAAGGCAGCACCCACACTTATATTTGACCACATACACAGTTAATTTCTACACATATCTACATTTACATCATTCGCGTGTTTTGGTTTAATTTCCTCCATCCTATTATGCTTTCTCAAATTTGCACAAAAAGTTTATGATTTATTTCAGCACATATTTTCTTGATAGTTTATTTTATGACATTCATCTATAATTTTGCTTGTATTTTTCATTCCTTGTTTAAAATGTGCAACACTTTATTATATAAAAACTGAATTCTGATTCAAACAGGATATTTGAGTCTTAGATTCCCTATGTCAGTGCCTGCTCTCAGTTCCCAGCCAACCTTAATTAAGTTTCCCTTCTGTGGGGAATTAATACAAAGTGGTTGAGATGCAACATCAGCACCAGGCAAGTACTGCTGCCCTCTAAGAGCTTATGATCCTCCTCCAGTGAAATTGCATCTTGTGGGTTATTTACTATATTTCTGGATGGTTGAGTACAGCATCAGATATCATGAAAAAGCCTTCTTTTCTGGTTGAAAAAGGAAACAAAAGAGAACTGAAGTAATAAAGGATATAGAATTGTGTGGTGTGTCTTTGAAAATGTTCCTTCTGCCTCAGGATGTGAGGACTCTCAAATTTGAACATCAGAAACAAACACATAAACAAATTTCTGTACTGATACTTTATATCTGAAAATAAAATAAACAAAATAAAATAAACTTCCCCCTTAATTTGGGCAGTACCAAAAAAAAGGTGTCAAATTTTTATCCATTTCTCTGCATTAAATCCCTTTTCATTTTTCCCTATGAAATTTTTTGCCTCCTTAGGTTCATTATAGAAGTGATTTCCTTCTGTAATACACATTTTTAAAAGCTGGCTAGAAGCAGTGCCTTACGCCTGCAATCCCAGCACTTTGGGAGGCTGAGGTGGGTGGATTACCTGAGGTCAGGAATTAGAGACCAGCCTGACCAATATGGTGAAACCCTGTCTCTACTAAAATTACAAAAATTAGCCGGGCGTGATGGTGTGCACCTGTAATCCCAATTACTACTCAGGAGGCTGAGACAGGAGAATCACTTGAGCCCGGGAGGCAGAGGTTGCAGTGAGCAGAGATCACGCCACTGCACTCCAGCCTGGGCAACAGAGCGAGACTACGTATCAAAAAAAAAAAAAAACAAACAAAAAAAAAAACAAAAAACCTGGTGAAGCTACATATTCATAAGGTGGCAAAAATTAAGGATGTTGAGAAAAGGAAGAGAATTAATCTACTGTTTTCAGACATATTCATGAAGTTTCCTTAATAAGTTTGTTTTAATGTTCTGCAAATGCACTGCTCATATAACGTCTTCTTTCTCCAAACTTCCCAACTCCTTACACCTCTCTTTTAGCCAGTGATTTTATCTCATTACTCACAGAAAAAATTAAAGCCATCTTTGCACCAACAAGCCCAGGGAGCTAAGCATTTATCTCCAAACAGTGTTGCCATATTCCCTTTTCAAATAAGTGATGTGGGGCCTGCGGGTCCTTCTTCCTAAAGGAATATTACTCCACTTGTCATCTGATTCCAGCATCTGTTGTCTTCTCAGTGTTCACTCTCTCTGATACATTAGTAATAACTTTCTTTTCTACTGGGTCATTACCATCAGCTCAGAAAGATATGTTCTAGTGTCTCCCTCAAAAATTAACAAACCAAAAATAACAAAACTGTCCTCTTAACATCCTGTAACTTTTCTGGTCATCTGTGTTTTTCTTTTCGGTAACACTACTCTTAACAAGTATATTCCTCACCTTTTTTTCACACTTAATTCCATTCTAATCTGTTTTGTGTCACCACCTCTCAATTAAAACTGCTTTTGTCCTTGTCACCAAATTCCATGCAGCCAAATTAGATAGACAATTCCACAGTTGTGTTTTACCTGACCTTTCAACAGCCTTGGACCTAGTTGACTCCTTTTCCTCTCACATTTTTTTTCTCTACTTCCATGACATCAGACTGCCCAAATTTCCTACCCTATTTCTTTGCTGTTTCCTCTGCTTTGACCCTGCTTCTTAATGTTAGGAGCTGCTCAGGGCTTGGTCTTGAGTATTTTTCTTTGTTTTTTTGTTTTTTTTTTTTTTTTTCAAATCAATTACACCTTCTCCTGGGTAATTTTATTTAGTCCCATAGTTTAGGATGCCTTCCAAAAACGTATCTCTAGACCAGAGAGACATGCTGAGTTTAAGATCTGAATATTATAAATACACATTGGCATTTACACTTCACAGCCTTTTCAAACCTAAAATTTTTAAACTGGACTATGGATTCCATACACCCCACTCGCACTAACTATTCCTCTCAGTCTTCCTCAGCTCAGTAAATGACCCACAACCAACTGATCAATCGTTCCAACTGGTCATCTATGACTCATTCTTAAACTCTTTATTTCTTTAATCTCTCCCTCAACATACAGTCTTGTAACTGTAAGTCCCATTGGTTGTACTAGCAACACATACATAGAGTATGCTAAGTCTTTTTATATGCCTGTCATCATCTTAACACCAATCACTATCATTGCTGTGTTCCACTGCAACCGTGTGTTAACCCTTCTCCTTGCTGTCATTCATGTCCTCCTAAGACATGTTCTTCCTACTGCAGCCATAATGCCTTCTTCAAACAACTGTAACTCAGGCTGGGTGTGGTGGCTCATGCCTATAACCCTAGAACTTTCGGAGGTTGAAGTGGGAGGATTCTTGAGCTCAGGAGTTCAAGACCAGCCCAAGCAACATAGTGAGATCTTGTCTCTACTAAAACAAAAATAGCTGAGCATGGTGATATACACCCATAGTCCCAGCTACTCAGAAGGCTGAGGCAGGAGGATCACTTGAGCCAAGGAATCTGAGGCTGCAATGAGCCACGACAATATCACTATACTCTAGCCTGGGTGACAGAGCAAGACCCTGTCTCAAAAAACAGAAAGCAACCCCACAACCCAAAAATATAAATCACAACATTACACTAGTCCACTACTCTGCTAATGTTCCATGGCATGAGAATAAAATGCTCAGTTCTTATCATGTATGCAAAGCTCCGAATGGCCTGGTTTTCCAATCACATCTTGTCCCACTTTTCCCCTTGCTTACAAAGCTCCAGCCATATTTGCCTTCTTTCCAGTCCTTACACACTCCAAGCTCTACGCTGCTTTCTTAGCAGCTCATTTTACATTGTTGTCTCTCTCATTCTTCAACACTCAATTTAGCTGTCACCACCTCAGAAAGCATTTGCTGACAAACTTTTACAAAGTAGACTTTCTATCCTTCACACAACCACTTGCAGTAACTTTATCATAGAACCCTGTTTATTTCACCCTGTTTATTTCCTTCATAGCTTTTGTCACATCTATTTATATTTGCTTTCTGGCATATTGTTAATGCCACCACTCAGTACAACATCCCTGAGGACAGGGACAATATCTGTATTGTTAATCACACTATTTTCCATGTGTAGGATCTTGTTTGTCTCAAAATATATGCTCATTAAATAGTAGTCAGCGAAATGAAAGTATGAACAAACACTTCTATGAGGTGGTTAATATCATTTCCATTACATAGATGAAGAAAGCGACATTGCTGAAAACTCTTTTTTTAGTATCCCACCTGTCTCATCTGTCAAGTGAAATGAATGGACACTGCTATGAAAGTAAGAAAATTTTTGGAAGGTTTAACTGTATAGAGCTTTATAGGAAGTCAAGTAGAAATGAGAAGAAATATTCTGAATCAACACTGTGGCCCCCAAATGAAGTAAAAAAGAATGTCTGCAACAGAGTCATTTGATCTGTTTTTAGCTAGAGGTTCTCAGCAAGATGGAATTAAGACATTAATGGTCTTTGGCATTTACTCAGCTTTTAAGGGATCCCAGGGTATTAGTGATAACAGTGCCAGAGTGACTGACCTTATGAACTACACTTAATTAAAAAGCAAATGGAATAATGAAAGGACAGGACTGGATAACAGCGAATTTAGGGATAGGAAGTTTTGATAAAGAGAAAAGAAGTAGAGAGTAGAAGAAATGAAGCAGTCAGAGAGAAAACCCAAAATTCCAGAATTCATTGTCTGCTGAGTCAATTAAATTAGTTTATGGGCTACAAAGTAACTTTATTTATCAAAAGATTATTGTGTGATGCACACAGGAAGGTTTTATTATCACTCTCTGTGTTGTTTTTTTCACACTCGCATGCTTCTGCCTCTCTCTCTGTTACCATTATTTAGCATCTAATTTCAGATTTCTCCACTCCAGGATACTTTCATCTCTCTCCACTGCAGTCGTGATTATTGCATGTATGTTCTGTACCACATACTAGTCCCTTAATTATACAGTGCTGAGATCCCATTTTTTATAGGTATTTACTGTGTCCCTAAGCAGATTGTTAGCTCCTTAAGGACAAGGATTATGTCGTGTGTACTTATTGGTATTGAATACAGGTAAATTTACAGAATTTATCAAACATATCTAGAATGTATCAAAAATATTTTTGAAGGAGAGAAGAAAGAGACTAAAAGTATAGCCAATTAAACAATTCTAATATTCAAGTCATTTGATATTCAGTGGGCATTTACAACTTGTATAAAAGATTATGCAAAGGATGAGAATAATGTATGTGGAAACAAGCATTAAGAGTAGAATTAATTATTTAGTGTTCTAATTGCAAGAGGATCTTAAAGGTTCAACTAGAGCAGTCTGGTTGGAATCAAGAGTGAAAGTCTCTTGTTTCATCAAATATAGTGTATATTTTATATGTAAAATCAAATTTGGGTTGACACAGCTAATTGGTATCTGTAATTATTTTTCTCTTATCTACGTGAATTTTGGAACAGCAAGTACTTCTATAAGTTATATCTAGTTTTATTTCTAGAAAGGCGAATCTGAGCTCAGTTAAAGGAAACACTGTCATGAATATGACTGCATATCTCTAGATGTGTGCATTATTTTAAAAGTACAAGAGAACTGGCAAAGGAATGCCTCGAGTATTTCTATAAATGGCATGGTGAGGTAGTGATCTGAAGCGGAGCATCTCAGTACACTCAAATGATTCCTTAAAGGCACCACTTTAAAGACTAAGCTCCTATATATCTGCAAACCATGCCCTCTGTCAAGGAAATAGTGTTCACATTTTTTGACCAGGTTTCAAGTAGGGCCAATTTTCATACAATCTAAAAGAAAATACATAGAAATAAATAAAAATTGTTACCTTAAGACGACAGACTGTGGTATTAAGTAAGAACCATTAATCTTATTATAAATCTAGGATATTGAGACAACAATAAATATCTCAAACATTAGGTGCTAAATAAATCAAAGAACTGTAGGCAGTTTTCCGTATCAAGGCATTTTTTCCACATATTATGTTCTGGACATTCTGAAGATTGTATGCTTCAGATGATTGCAATTTGGTTGTATTCTTAGAAATGTAGCAGAGGAAAAGTGTAATATATAGGATTAAAAAATGAGAGAAATATAAAAGAAAAGCATTAAATGTTTGGTAATCATTATGATGAAAATGAAGAGATTTTGAACTGTTAGTCTGCTACCATCTAGCATACAATAGATCAAATACGCAACTAAGACAGAAACATCAGATTTTCAGCTATAGGCAAAATATCTCAGAGAGGAACAGTTACAAGGTGAAATTGCATGGTTAATACTCTAACTGAAAGCCATGACTTTTGGTAGATATTCAAGTTTCTTTTTCAAATGATACACATTATTTGTGTGATTATTGATAGAAATAAACAGCTCTCCTTAGAATAGCTTATTGAAAAAAATGTTGAGAGAACTTCAAATGCACTGAGGATATATTCTTGCAAGCTTACTTCACACGAGGAGCCAGTATAACCTGGTGGGCACTGACACACTTCTACAGCTGCCGCAACGCTTCCATCAGTAGGATAGGAGACAGCGGATTCAAGGTTAACAGAGCTCAACCTAGGGCAGAGGAGAAAAGAGATGGTGGATGGTGAAAAAGTAGAGTTCTTAGGTATTACACAACTGTAGGAATCAGACAGTAACAATGACATAAATATAAGCTAATTATGTATGCTGAGAAAGAAGGCTGATGAACACCATAGCCAAAAGCTCTGGTCATTTGTCACACTAGGTCAAGTTGGCTCAGTCTAAAATGCTGAAAATAGCCACCACCCCCAAATGCTGAACAGATATGAGAATGTTCTTCCTCATCCTTTGGCTCTTGGCTATGTGTTCGGATTTTCATTTTGTGGAGACAGATGGACACTTTTTAAATCATAAAGGGATTTTTAAAACGGAAAACATTCCAATGACTGCTTGATTTCTTTTAGCGCTTAAATAAGGAAAGCAGAAGTAGACAATATTAATATTCCATCTCAGCTTTTAAATTGAAAGAACAGATGAAAACGATTTTCTTTTTGCTTTTCTTAGAGATGAAGCTGCATGTTTGTAGTCGGTACAAGCTAAACTTTCTCAAAATGTTCAGTTGACTTACTTAGAATGATCTCTGCAATTTGTTTTTGGCCTAAATTAAATCCATTGTTCTCTGTATCTATGACCTTCATTTTATTGGTACTTTTGTACAATCTGGTAATTTTAGCAGAGTGATTTAGCATAACTCATTATTTTAGAGAAAAGCTGGCTTGGCCAAATGGAAAACTGGAAAAAATGCTGTCACACACATATTTCTTTTCTTATTATGCATTCACAATTTAAATAAATGTTATTGGTATCTTATTTGTTTTTCCTATTTTTGTGTAAAAAGACATTTTAAAAGCTTAATTGTTAAGAATACAGTTTTGTGAGTCTAACAGACCAGGATTCATATCCTGTCTCTGATATTTATCAGCCTTGAGGCCTAGAAGAAAGTAACTTATTCTTTCTAGGCCTCAATTTTTTCTTCAATGCAATGGAGATAATAGTCCACACATCATGAGATTGATATAAAAGGAAAAAGAAATATAAAGTTCTTGGTACAGTGTGTAACACATAGTAGGTTATTATGAAATACTAGGCATTTTATTAATCTATTTTCATTGACTGTTGAAGTCAAATAAAAATGACTACATGAACAGTACAAGCAATACACTTTTTACTATTTGTATCTCCATGTCATTTTAGTGTATGAAAATAAATTTTAAATAAACTCCAAGAGCACATAATTAAATGACTACGATTGATTCATAATAATTACAGTTTTAAAGTTTACTGGTAGACATTTGATAGCATATGACATGGCATCTTGTAACCATAAGAAAGACGCAACTGATTCTTGCTACAGCCTGCATTTTCAGTTCCTTTCTCAGGAGTGATTGTAGATTTTTATTGATCAGTGATTCACACTTACCAAATAACTTGCTAGATTTGGCAATCAATGCTGGGAATTTGGAAATCAAGCCAGAGAGCAAAGCTAAAAGGCTCATTACAAGGTGTAAACGTATCTTCAAAAGTGATGATCTTTATCCAAATTGTAAGCTTTTCAGCAATAGATTTCTAAAAAAACATTGCCCTTACCCCCACTTTGCTAATCCTAGACACTTGACAGTACTTTTGAATATGTATGAGTTCGCGTACAATCAGGAAGCAGAAAAGGAAATTAACCCTGAAATCACCAAAAATAGGCATTTGGATGGAATCATCCTAGCTGCTGAGTGCTCGATGGCACCCTCTAGAGACGAGTGAATTATCTTTACCTGTAGATAAACTCATCCAACACTATTAACTGAGTGGTGTCTTCTCTAGGGGCAACCTGGTAGAAGGCCCTAGATTAGGCAAATATTACTATTCTACAGTGTTTAGGTTACATGTGTCATTTGAAAATCATTAAATGCTCTTTTTCCCCCTGCACCAACGAACCTTGTCAATGAAAAATGCAGTATCACAGGCATTTCTTTTTCTTGTCATTATTTCAGGTGAAATTCACATCACATAAAATTAACATTTTAAATTGTACATAGAGAGGAATTTTGACATTTGGGGTAGGATGAAAATTTACATATCTATTTAAAATTTATAAAATAAATTGTACAGTTCTGTCATTTAGTACATTCACAATGTTGTGCAACTACCACATCTATCTAATTCTAACACATTTTATCAGCCCAAAAGAAAATCCAGAATCCATTAGATAGTCATTCTCTATTTTCCTTCTTCTGTAATCCCTGTAAGCTAACAACGTGCTTTTGTGGCTACGAAGTTACCTATACTAGATATTTCACATTAGTGTAATTATGCAGTATGTGACCTTCATGTCTGGTCACTTTCACTTAACATACTGGGTTTTTTTGTTTGCTTTCTGTTCAGAGACCAAAGTCTCATGGTCACCTAGGCTGGAGTGCCATGGCCAGATCAGAGCTCCCTGCAGACTCAAACTCCTGTGCTCAAGTGATCCTCCTGCCTCAGCCTCTCAACTAGGTGGGGGGCTACAGGCATGTACCACCACAGTTGATGAACTTTTTTTTTTATAGCATATATATATATATATATATATATAGTTGTTGTTGTTGTTGTTGTTTGTTTTTTGAGACAGAGTGTTGCTCTGTCACCCAGGCTGGAATGCAGTGGCATGATCTTGGCTCACTGTAACCTCCACCTCCCGGGTTCAAGCAATTCTCCTGCCTCAGCCTCCCAAGTAGCTGGGACTGCAGGCACACATCACCACACCCAGTTAATTTTTGTGTTTTTAGTAGAGACAGGGCTTCACCATATTGGTCAGGCTGTTCTCGAACTCTTGACCTCAGGTGATCCACCCCCCTTGGCCTCTCAAAGTGCTGGGATTACAGGCATTAGCCACTGTGCCCGGCCTAGCATAATATTTTTGAGGTTCTCCTTGTTGTAGTATGTATCAATATTTCATTCCTTTTTATGACTAATATTCCACTGCATATACATGCCACATTTTGTTTATTCATTCATCTGTTGATGAATATTTGGACTGTTTCTACCTTTGGGCTATCATAAATAATGTTGCTATTCATATTCATGAACACATACTACCTATTTTCAATTTTTTGGACATATATCTAGAAATAGAATTTCTGGGTCTGGTAAGTCTCCTTAACACAACAGAGTTTGCAAGAGTTACTAAAGACAGTACTCATGTTGGCATGAGCTTATGGGCTACTCCTTGACAACAGAAACCTGTCTTGCCATCTATATATGCAGCATGATCATCTCCATAGATGTTCAGTAGACTTTTATTGGATGAGTGAACTGATGGATGGATGGATGGATGGATAGATAGATGGATAGATATATACAAGAGTAATTGATTAAATACTTACATAATAAATGAATAGATGAATGGAAAACAGTTCTATTACAAACATGACTAACAAACTCCATGACAAATGATACAATAAAGCCTACTAGGCACATTTCAGATGAATAAAATCAGATAAGTAAAAGACAAATTACTTGTTTGATTTGACATAGAAAATAAATGGAAACTGTTATTTGAACTTGAGGTCAGAGACCAGAAATCACCTGAATGTATTGTGACATCTAACAGCTTGGAATTAATGTACTGTTACTTGATAAACCTATCAGTTTGATTTCAATCATTTTAATTTCATTCCAATCATTTTAATTTCAGAATTAGATAATTTCATGGTTGATATACTAGTCGATTATCATACAATATATCGCCACAATTTACCAAACAGCAGTGATTGATTGACTATATATAGGTACAGTCCCAGAATTTCTGATATAAAATTGATATGCAAAACTTAAAGAAATAGTTCTGGAAATTTCAAAATAGAAGAATGAGCAATAGACTAAGAAACAGTTTTTAAAAAGATACAAAAACAAAAATATTTTCAGTGAACTGACAAATTTCATTTGTCTTTTGAACAACAGATGTTCCTCTCCTTAATCTGTATAACCATTCTGAGCTATGAGAAACTTCAGCACTCAAACATCTTTCCTAGTAATATTCCACATTAGTATTCACTGAGCAATCCCAATGTTCATTAGGTTCTGCTATTTGTTGAATGGGATTTTAATGTGTTTAACAGTTTCAAGTGTTACTCATGAAGAAGGCTGCAGTTTATTTTATTTTTTCCTTCAATATGGTCATTTTCTTGATATCAAGCTGCATTCATTTAAATACATAATGTTGGCAGTAATAAAGTACTAAATTTTGGAGATGCATGAGCTATCAAAGAGTTGTCAACTAAGTCAAATGCTTTCGCTGACTATTCCTTCTTATCTTTATGCCTTGAAAATACAGAAAAGATGATGGATGAAGAGAGAGGACATAATTATACAAGCTACTGTGGAAAATATTGGAACTATATTGGAAACATTGTCCTGGTGTTGCCTTAATGATTGTTCTCACTCCTTTTGTGTTACTACATTAACTGCCAGGTTACATATGCTATATTACACTAAAACAACTACCACCAAACATTATACTTTAAAACAACAAAAACACCTATGATCTTATAATTTTTTTCTACCCACCATATGTATATAAAAAGCAAGACATTTTCTCTAAATATTTTCAATCCCACATCAAGTAAAAGCAGTAGCTGACAGAATCTGATACTTTCACAGCCCTGTATTAAAAATGTATTAAATGTTAACACAAGAATTCATCTCTTCCTTCTTAGTTCTACCAGTATGCACTGTGTATACTTCTCTGCACTATTTACATTATCATAGATGTGCAGTAGGTATAAGTTTATCTGACTTCTCTACTGCGCAAGCCTTCTTTGAATTCAATGATTATTGCTCCACCTTTGTATCCTTACAACCTAGTCTAGAATGACTGCTTCTTAATAGTTACTACTTACTGTCTACTATCTTCTGTGCACTATGATACGGGCTGGAAAGACATTTCATTTAAGTATTAATAAACAATGTAACAACCCCATGTCTATTCATATTTACAAATGAAAAATCTGAGGCTCAGAGGAGTAAGGCGCCTTGTCCAACATAATACCGTTAGCAAAGGGTGCAGGATAGATTCAAATCCAAGCATGACTCCAAAACCAGAGTTCTCCTTGTTACCCTCCATTGCCTCCCAATGTATTCTAGATAGCATTTCAGGTGCATACATTATGTTTTCGCTTAATTGCCAACCTTGAAATTTAGACATTGTTTCTGCCACTGGATAGAATAGGAACTGAGATTTAGAGACATCACCATGGAAGGTGCTCAGTAAATATTTGCAGACTGAATGAACTCAATACTTAATGGAATAGCATTGGGAGGTAGTCAAAGACAATGGGAAAGAAACATAGGTTAAAATGCTTGCTGCGCCTCTTACCAACAGCAGGATTCCAAGTGAGCTGCAAAAGTCCTTTTAATTCCTAGTGTTATCAGTAAAATGTCCTCAAAGTGTAGTTACCCGAATCATTAACTTCAGAAGGTAGAGGTATATGGTGTACCTGGCAATACTATTTCTATAATTATTAAAGACTCCTTTGTTTACAAGAATTTTTCTAGATTATTTATTATATAAATTCTGTATCCTCTTTTTTGATCCCCAACCCCAGAATTTACACTGAAAGTTGTGTAAAAATATCTTGCCTTGAAAATATTTTGTATTTATCTTCAAGCAACACTCATGAGTGGTATCATGATAAAGTCATGATGGGCTTGGTGGTGCTATGACAGCAACTCCAAATTCTCAGTGGCTTAACAGGAAAAGAAGGGCTGACTCATGTAAAATCCTCTACAGGTCTGGGTGACTGTTATGGCGCTGACCTCCACATGCCGAATCAGTATTCCAGGCTGTTTTTATCTTCTGTTTGCTAAGTAAGCTGGAGAGAGTCTCACATTGGAAATTCAATGTTTACCCCAGGGGGAAAAAATATATCATTTCTGCTACATTTCATTGGCTAAACCAGGTCATATGACACATCTATCCTCCAGGGTTAGAGAAAAGCAATATCCCCTATGGATGAGATTGAAAATTTGGCAAACTCTGCTAATGTCTACTGTAAAATAAGAGGAAAAAAATACACTTTGTGCAGAATTCTATATCTCATATAGGTACTTAATAAAAGCCTTGCTTGATTTAAACACCAAGGATGTTACTAAATCCAAGGTTTGGAGAATTTAAAGGAGAAAGATGTGCAGTTCAGTCAGGTTGATTTCTCTTATATTCTTAAAAGAAGCATGAAAAGATTTCTATTTGTGCCTTCATCTTCCTAGTGAGGACAGTGAGAAAAAAATACATTAATTTTATCTAATAGGTCTCAGCATTTTGAAAAAAAAAATGACAGTAAGAACCGTCATATGTATGGAAATACCAGTACGTGCCTTTCTCTAGAGGTCTCTAAATCTTAATGGTATTCGGAGAAAATGTGATCCTTTGGGATGAAGTAAATAAGACAGAAATGCTTCATATTTGTGTGCTGGGTTACCACTAGCCAAGTGCTTTTGCAGCTCTCTAATTCAATTCTCGCAGTGACCTTTTGAAGTTGGCAGGGCAATTGTCCTTCTCCTTGTTTTACAGATGAAGTGATTGAAGTCCAAAGAGGTCAAAACCATACTTATGTTTACAACTATTAAATAGCTGAGTTGAAAACAAAAGTCAAAATCCTTGACCTGCAGCCTAGTTCTCCTTCCATTATACAATTCCATCTAGCCATATAACTGGTGGAACGGAAGCCCATTTGCTGAAAGAATTACCACAGAAGTAAATCCACCGTAAATAAGTCTAAATATAAATTTTTGTTGCATTCGATTTACTTGTGCTTGCACACAAACAGTGTACCAAGTCGGAAGCCTACTGTGCAAGACAAGTTGAAATCAATTCAAGTGATGTTTTACAAATATGACTCAATCTACTAGTAGATCAAAGATAAAATAACAAGCTTACTGACTGACTCCGGATTCACGCCGACTTCCAGCTCATCTGAGTGGTTACGAGTTTCGAATCTGTCATTGGCTTTTGCTTATTGAACCACACAGTGCTTTCGGTAATATAGGTGACAGAAAGTAGCCACCTACTTGGATTAGCTCTTGTGTCGTTTCACAGAGCCACACTGTGAATGCATTCCTCCTGTATGGCGAAACCTCAGAAGACTACAAACAAAACCCGTGATTTTAAGAAGGGTAGACACTGAAACTGTCTTACATAAATCAGGGGGAAACGTCTTTGTGTTAACTAGCCTGAAAAGCAATGCTGACAAAAATAAATAAGCCCCCTAGCCACTTTTTTTGTCAATTTGGTTGTCATTCATTTTGAAAGCTGGAGGACTCATTTCTTTGTACTGTTTAAACATCATGACAATCTCTATTTACTAAATGGGAAAAACATAATTAATTCCTAAGTGCTGCTTCTTATCTCCATGGCATTTTAACCCAGCTTCTAAAAGAATTGCCTATGCAAAAGAAGTACATTGTTTGGCAACTGTTCTGTTTATGATTCTGCAGTTCTCTCCTTTGGGAAATGGTAATGATGATTAAACTAAGTTGAAATATTACCAGTGAAAGGCAAACTAGGCAGCACAGGCAAATGATGGGGGACAGGGAGGTGGGGGGGTGCTGGTGACAGAAATAAAAACTCCAATATTGGAGACATTGCTCTCATTAAAGGTATACGGGGTTGTCAGACTGGGGTCACATTTGAACATCTAACTTAACCTGATTTAGAAGGGAGTTTCTATGACATCTTGTGTTACTATTATTAGAGTAGAAAAGGAGAAGGGTAAAGAACTCATTCAGACACAGTTGAAGTTAAAATTCTGTCAGATAAAAATATCATTGTTTTAAAAATAAAATAAAAAAAAAAACATAGCCTACCAACATTCAGACACCAGCATATTTGGTTCAAGTCAGGGAGTTGGCTCTTCAAAAAAAAAAAAAATTAAAAAAAAAAAAAAGAAGGAACTGAGAGTGTTCTAGGTGATGAGTACTTTCCTAATTATGATGTATCATTTTAACAAAGACCCTGAAAAGTAGGCATTCGTATACCACTTTACAATGGAAAGAAAGGTTCCTCCAGGCCTAATCACTTGCCAAAGGTCATACATACAATAAGCAACAAAGCTTACTGAATTTCTACTCAGTCTGGCTCCAAAGTTCATATTCTTTCCCTTATACCATGTGGCTGTTATAGTCTGAAAGTGTTTTATAGTGAGATAGGTGGTTATTTAAATGAAAATACTTACGTTTCTTCTTACAAACTGCTTACTATTAAGTCAGAAACTAGTTAACAACTATTGGAAGATTAAAAACCATTTTCCAAATAGGGGTGCCCTGGAATTTGTATCTTTTTAGTTTCCCACTCTGTGAGCCATCATAAAGGAGACTTTATTTTCCAATATAACATTGCTCAATATAGGGATCATTTCTGATCACACGTCCTGACAGAATTGTGAAAGAATTGTCAATAATAATAAAAACCAAGGCAAATTTATTCCTGGTATTTAAAACTGTAAAGGTTTAAGAGGAAAACCTTTCAGAAAACTAGAGCTCCGTTTTTATCTGCTCTTTGAAGACAGCAAATCACTTCTGGGGTGACTCCTGCACCTTTGCCCCAAGGTGAATGTGTGAACGTTGGAACTGCAGTTCTTGATTTTACCTGAAGATGGCATCCATCCCAAAGCTGTATGTGATTTGTAGGAGGACTCTCTTCAATCTCGCAAGCACTGTCATAAATTCTTTTCTACTGACTGGAAAATGTGTGCCATGTATGGTAAATGATTCTTCTTTAAGTAACAATACATTAATATGTTCTTCAGATGGTTGCAGGTACACCTCATCTTGAGGTGTGCTGATTCTCAAGCCGTTGCCCTAACGGGAAAAAAAAAGAAGGCGTAAAAGGGTAAAACAGAGAAGAGGGTACAAAAGAGTCAAACATATCTATATTTGGATCCTCTACCCTTAGTAGACTTTTATATTTTTAAATTTATGTTTATTATTTATTTATTGTTATTATTATTAGTATTGGAGACAGAATCTCACTTTTTCCCCCAGGTTGGAGTGCAATGGCGCCATCTCAGTTCACTGCACACTCCGTCTTCCAGGTTCAAGCGATTCCCATGCCTTAGCCTCAATAGTAGCTGGGATTACAGGCGCCTATCATCAAGCCTGGCTAATTTTTTGCGTTTTTTTTTTTTTTTTTTTTTTTTTTTTTGAGACGGAATTTCGCTCTCGTTACCCAGGCTGGAGTGCAATGGCGCGATCTCGGCTCACCGCAACCTCCGCCTCCTGGGTTCAGGCAACTCTCCTGCCTCAGCCTCCTGAGTAGCTGGGATTACAGGCACGCGCCACCATGCCCAGCTAATGTTTTTTGTATTTTTAGTAGAGACGGGTTTCACCATGTTGACCAGGATGGTCTCGATCTCTTGACCTCGTGATCCACCCGCCTCGGCCTCCCACAGTGCTGGGATTACAGGCTTGAGCCACCGCGCCCGGCCATTTTTTGCATTTTTAGTAGAGACGTGTGTTTCGCTATGCTGGCCAAGCTGGTGTCAAAATCCTCACACCCGGTGATTCACCTGCCTTGGCTTCCTAGAGTGCTGGGATTACAGGTTTGAGCCATTGTGTCCAGCCTCAGTAGACTTTTAATTTAAGGTTGGCTTTCCCTGTCACTCAGGGAATATATTTCTAGTATACATGAAGGGAAGGCAACACAATTTTAATATTGGCCTTAGCCACATGCACTGGGAAGCATGCGCTTCTTGGTTTTGCATGACCTTACTTCCCCATTAACTAAAATAATAGTTATCTCGAAACACTATATGTGATTACAAACACCTTGAATTGACACAAGAGCCTGAAAGTTATATATTTCAAATATATTATTTTATGACGGATGTGAGTTGTGCAGAAGAATAGAGAAAGAAACTTAAAACTGAATTAAGCTGTTATTTTAAAGGAACTTTCTACATGGGGAAAACAAACAATAAAAAAGACTTCAGTCTAATTCTCAAAACAGGATAATGGCATCTAAGGAGTATATTGAACGACCTATGGCATTTAGGTAATCTTTCTTGTCTTAGTTCATTCACATGAATAACTAAGACAAATACTACATAATTTGTCTCAACACTTTACATTTGGAGAACTCCTTTCATCTTAAAGGAATTCCAAAGTATACATCTAGTTACTATGTATATACAGAGAGAGAGAGAAAGAGAGAGAGAGAGAGAGAGCAGACTACTTCATCCAATACTGGAAAATGTCCACTTTGAGAAAAGATTTTTTTATTTTTTCATTGATTCACATGCATGAAAGTTTCAAGACAGAAAACAACAGAGCCTGGTGCTAAATTAACATCTACCCATTTGGAATCGTAAACATGCATGCATGTGTGTGCCTCTGAATATGTATGAGTGTTGAGGGGAGGGGATACATTATTGGAAAGAGTGATATGATAAGAAAGGGTGGCCGAGGGCCTTTAAGTTAGCTGCAGGCTTCGAGGCCTATTGCCCTTCAAATCTTGAAAGCAGTTTCTCCTGTACCTTTCTTACCTAAAACAGGATTTTGAAGTCAAGGTTTAACTGTAACTAAATAAACAAATTTCCTGTTTCATTTTGTTTTATCTAATATATGCAAGGAAGTAGACAATAAAATCTACCCGAAAGCCAGGGGAAATGGACAAAATACAATTATGTAAACTATCATGCACCTAAACACTTTCATAATATTTATATTCTTGGAAACATGGTCATTATGTTTGAAATTTAAATTTTAAGCCTGGTCTAAAGTTCTCCTTTATCATTCAAACCCAACAAATATACTCAGTCTTCTAGATATGTCTCAGAGTAAAACATAAGAGTGGCATAAAAAACTCCTAAGGTATATTTTTTTAAGTAGTTATGTAAGTCAATGTCAACGCAGGCAGGTAAAAAATACAGTACTGGTAACCTCAAGTAACATAAGGAAGTAATATGGTTGGACATAAATGATGATTTCAGCACTCTACCTCTAAGATAATCATAAGCTGGAGAACACGTTCTGTATCTTCTTCCTCTTCTTCAAGGTCATATGATATGGTAAATGTCAACTGTCCTCCTACTGATGAGAGCTGCAAGAGAGAAGATGCATATCATTGCAGGATAGGAGGTGGACTGCCAAATCGTATTTTACTTATTGTTGTATAATAATTTTATTGTTCTAGAGGGCAGTATTTGCAAGAAGCAGAAATCACTGGAGTACAAAGTGGGAATGATAGACATTTCTTCAGGAGTAACATTTCTGCGAACCTTACCCATCAACTGCAAGCCTGACATAAACATAAATTTAAGTCTTTTTTTCCCCCGTATTGCAGGCTTGCTGAAATAGGTTAAGTTCCATGAAGTCAAACACGGATCCTCCTGCCATCTTCCTATAGTCTGAGCTTTACAAATCCCGAACAGAGAAAGATCTTTGTCAAAATTGGGAGATTTCTATCCATCCCTGAGGGTCACTCACTTTCTGTGAGTCTGAATTCTTTCAACAAAGACATCCCTTCATTTGACAGGCACTTTGCATAGCCCACATGCTTAGCCGAGAAACGTTATTGGTCAAGGAAAAATAAAGGTTAGCAGCAAATTTTATTTTATATTAAAATTCAATCAAAACAGCCAAAGAAGGTATACTTTCCTCTACGCGATATAATAGGCTTAGTTTGAATAAATATTATCTCCTTTTATTAAACAAACTTCTTTCCTTCCAACATGCTTGCCAAGCCCCATGCAATGTACTCTTGAGGTTTACATTTTTTGACATTGACAGTCACCTTGTAGAAATTAAGAAAAATATGAGAAAGCAAGGTCATTTTTGGACAGGAATCAAAATTGAAGTTGTGAGTGACAGATTCAATGCAAATGCTGTAATCCTTTTTTTAAAATTCCACTCCAGCACTGTAAATAGAGGCATTCATAAAACAAAGCTGATGATCTATATTCTGCTGTTGGCTCTGTGCTGACACGCAGAGACCTGGCTTCACAGGGGTGGCTTTCTATGGCCTTTCATGGCAGACCCTGACCAGAAAGCAATTCCTGGCTGGGAGTGCACTGGATGGAAGAGGAGGAACCCTGATTCCTCCAAACTGTTCCAGAAAGAATGGCACATAGCTTGTCATTTAAACAGGATTTCAAATTGCAGCTCTGCAATGTCTTCTAAAAGCTCGTTACGTGGGGCTCTATAAGGAACTTAAATTCAGAAAACTCTTATTCCCCTAATCCACTGAGAAATGGCCTTATTCTAATGTCATTTCACATATAAAATAATAAATATCTACCTAGACTACAGCACTTGGCATTACTGTGAGTAATGAGGAGTGAACCTATGTAGAAGATTTTGGGTTCTACTAAGATAAACATTCAAAATTGCACATAACATGCTTCTTGAAATCAGCTACATATTTTCTCAATAAGAGGATTCTAGAAAGGCAGATGAAAAAAACATTTTATATATTTCGAAAAGGACTGAACTATTTAGAATTTTCTAAATTAGTAAAAATATTTGGAAGGAGATTTGAGAAGAACACTGCAACATGGGCCTAAAATGTTACAAAATTTCGAGCTTCCAAATCTACTTTGATTATTTAAAATTTGGATTACATGCTATTTTTTCTTGAATATGGCTTCTCTAAAAAGGAAAGAAAAATATCAACTTAATATATGATATCACCATATATACTGAAGTAAAACACATTTTGAATTAAGGATAATTTTCCACTTTATCAATAAAGAGTCAAAGTGTGTAATTTGAATGTCAAAGCAGTTAAGACTATAGATGAAGCAGAAAAAGATCACCTATGATATTTGATTTTTAATAAAATCACATAAAATGTAAACTTGCAGCAGTCCCCAACCTTTTTGGCATCAAAGACTGGTTTCGTGGAAGACAATTTTTCCATGGACGAAGAGGAGGGGTTTGGGGATAAAATCATCAGATCATCAAGCATTAGATTCTCATAAGGAGCACACAACCTAGATCCCTCGCATGTACAGTTCACAATAAGGCTCATACTCCTGTGAGAGTCTGATACCATCGCTGATCTGACAGGAGGTGGAGCTCAGGCGGTAATGCTCACTTCCCTGATGCTCACCTCCTGTTGTGCGGCCCAATTCTTAGCAGGCCACAGACGTATATGGTCCAGGGGTTGGGGATCCATGACATAAAGTAAAACATTATGAGAGAGGAATTAGAGGTAGGAAAGGGGGAAGGAGGAACAAATAAATATGCAGAAAAATAGGGGCACCTTATGCAGGTCAGTGATAATATAAAATATGAACTAAGGAATAGAAATAATTTACCCTATTCTGCTAGGGCCAATAATAATAGCAATAATAGTAAAACATTGTTTTAGCTCACATTTTATAAAAACGATTTTTTCTAAACTCTTTTGTGTATCTCTGATATTCATATTTGCCATTATTACAACATATTTTGAATCGCCTGAAAATTGTCATGAGTGACTGTTTTACTTCCATTAATGTTGTGTGAAACACAGACCATTTAAAAAATGTGCAGGATATTGTTACTAGATATTTTTTTTCACCCAAGCCACAAGCACCCATTGACACAATGTCAGAATCAATTTATTTTTCATTCGCCCTAAAGGTATATGTGTGTGATCACATTTATGTAACCAGTTAGTCAAGTACTTAATTCTTTCTTTCTTTATTTTTTCAGATAGAGTATTGTTCTGTTATTCAGGCTAGAATGGAGTCACTTCAACCTCCACCTCCCAGCCACAAGCAGTTCTCATGCCTCAGCTTCCCGAGTATCTGGGACTAGAACTGTGTGCCACCATGCCTGGCTAATTTTTTGTATTTTTCGTAGAGATGGGGTTTCGCCAAGTTGTCCAGGCTGGTCTCGAATTCCTAACCTCGAGCAGTCTACTTGCCTACACCACCCAAATTGCTGGGATCACGGGTGTGAGCCACTATGCCCAGGCACTTAAGTAATTCTTAAAAGGATTGTTTAAGATGTCATTCTGCAATTTAGAGTTTGTACTTCTAGGAACATTAACTTATTTTTTTTATTTATTTCCTTCTATTTTTCCTTCAACTCCATAATCTTTCTATAAGCTATAAAATCAAGCTTTTCCTGGTGTTTCCAGCTAACGTGTCTTCCCCAAAGAGTACATACCATTGTATAAGAGACTTTGCAATGAGTCAATTATAGTAAAGTTCAGTAAAGACAACTCTTTCATTACTGAAAGAGGCTGTTATTCAGGGAAAAAGCCTTGAGAATATTCTGAGTATACATTGTCCTTTTCTATTGCTTTAGATGAAGAATTCTCTGCCTCTTCTCCGTCTGTCCATTCCTCCAAGTTCCAGGTGCTGCCTTTGTTTGGTGCCTCTTTGCCTTTGCTTCTCCACTCTCCTGGAATCCCTTCAGCCTCCCAACTTTTACTCTCTGCTTCAAATCCAGCGTGCACAGGGCTGCCAATCTTTATTGGCTCCTCTAGCTCTTATCTATGGTTATTTATTAGTTTCACTCTCAATGAAAACTGGGACATCAGTTTCTTTATTCCCATACATCCATGTTTTCTAATTTTATCTTCTGCATCCTGTTGACTACCTTTGGTATTCCATTAGAAGTGTGTCTTTAAAAGTCACTTATATATTCTGTGTGCCAACCACTAATGGCCATTTGACTGAGTTTTATTCTCAATTTTGATGTGATATATGGTTCTTATGATTCTTGAATCCCTTGTGTTTCATTACACTGAATTTTCCTAGTACTCCTTCCCCTGTCCAGGTCATACCTTTGTCTCACTTATAGACACATTTTTTTCTTATTCTCCACTCAGTCAGTGATATCTCTAAGACCTTTCTCATTCTCTTTTGATTATCATTCCATATGGATTCCATTCTCATGGATTAAACTACTACGTTTATACTAGGTCCATCAGTCTATATCTTCTGGACTGTCCTGTGTTTCTCTGTCAATTTTCTCTGGCCTCTATACAAAAGTGCCAGAGATGAAGTGACTTAAAAAACAGAAATTTGTTTTCTCACAGTACTAGAAGCTAGGAGTCCAAGATCAAGGTGTTAACAGAGTTGGTTTCTTTTGAGGCCTCCCACCTTAGCTCACGAATGGCTGTCTTTTCTCTGTGTCTTCACAGGGTCTTCTCTCTGAGTGCGCCTGTGCTTTAATTTCATCTTATTGTAAGAACACCAGTCATATTGGATCAGAGCCCACCCTAATGACTTCGTTTTAACTTAATGAACTCGTGAAAGATCCTGTCCCCAAACAGAGTCATGTTCGGAGGTACTGAAGATTAACACTTCAACATATGACTTTTGAGGGAATGCAGTCTAGCCCATAACAGTCCTATATTAAATTATTTTCCAATAATGTCTCAAACACTCAACATACCCTAAGTTAATCTCATTATCTAGATCTTTCCAGGAGTCAAACTTGCTCATTTTCTCAACACCCATGATTGGGTCAAGCGAAATGCTTTATCTCTCTATTTTAAATCAGAAAACTCATAAGTGCGTCTGATTTTTTAAACTCTATTATTTATATCAGATTAGTCCTTCAATCTATTCTCTTGAAATATTTCTAGTCTAACTTTCCATTCCAATGCCATATCACACCAAGTAGGTTCTCATAAAGCATCTGAATTGATCTCTCTGACTTCAGTCTTTTTGATGGGGAAAGTTTAATCAACTATTACATATATTGCTGCACTTCCCTAATGAATATTCTCCAGTGGTCCGGGATCCCTAATGTCATTCAAGTTTCTGTGTAGTTTCAGTACCTCCAGGCTCTATCTAGCCCCACATTCACAAACTGTGTGTACAGGTGCCCCAGGGTGCTGCAGTGAACTCACAAAGGTATGGTGGAATATTATAAACATTTGAAGGAAACACAACACTACTAAATATCTGTTGGGCACTGCAAGAATTAATTCAAGGTGGTTCACAAGTTTAACCTTAGAACATGCTATATTCCATTTAATGATGTTCTCAATATTTTGAGCCACATTTTTGCTTACTTGTACTTTAGGCCATTTTGTATTTTTATTAAGAAAGGTTTTTAGGGAAGACTGTAATTAAAAGCAAGAACTGCACAAAAGCC